TCAGCTTAACTGGTTAATGGTAGAATGAAATGATTTATCAAGCAGCAGCTTCGTATCTGCATGTCTATACATTTTAAAGAATCACAAAAGTAGTGCTTTTAAAAATTTTTTTTAATAGGACCAAAACAATTATTTCAGCATAGAAAAAGAAAGCAGACAGTAATAAGTTGAAGCTTTGTTGTACTCAGCAGTTTTAAGGATCCTGAAATGATATATTTAAAGAAGTAACTGTCTGTTACAGATAAAATAATATTACCATGGGAAAAATATGAAAATAACAGTTGTTTTTTAAAAGCTCTGAACTCTTGATCTATATATTGTAATTTTTCAGAAAGATTTTGACAAAAGCATATTTAGATTTTTTTTATCAAGCGCATTTTGTACTGTAGGTGTGATTTAATATACAAAAGTTCAGTTAAAGCCATGCAGTAGAATACACTTTTTTTCCCCCCAGTTTCAACTTCTTAAGGGAAATATGAATCCCTCAGCATGACTACTGTAAAGCTACTTGAAATTGGAAAGTGAAAGCTGCTGAAAGTGTGGTCTAGAACTGCAAGTTTATCTTGTTCATTAGTGTTAATTAATTGCATCTGCTTGCTTTAATGTATTTGATAATCCATTTAGCCACAATTCTAAAATTTGACAAGGTGTGTATAGCATTCTGTTGTTTAAAAACGTGATGTTAATCTGACCAAATTAGTTTTTCAGTTGGCAGCTAGTATTGCAACTTGTGATAACAAGAGAAAAAATAGAGTTATTATACTGAGACATTTTGAAAATTTGTGTTTTCAATTTTGACGCTACAGATGCTTACTAGGTGAGCAGCATTCCTCAGCTTTGCCGGCGTTTTCATTATGGTTGCTCTTTAATAATCAGTAGATTTCCATTTCTTGAAAACCTGTAAGGTATTAAAGCTTTTTAGTATCTCAGTATGTTGGAACAATTTTGACGTGCTGCGGTTAGGCTGCAGAATGAGTAAACATCTAGTACAATAAATACTGTAATGCTTATATATAGAAGTGGGCCAACTCAAAGAAGAGACTTAGGTGTTTATTCTGGAATAACTACCACACGTGATCAGAGCACTGGTTATGGGAGAATAGATTAATATCCTTGCTCTGGTTTGGACTGGGCAGTGACTTCAGCCTCTTTTACATCCCAGGTGAATGCTGTAATGATCTTAGCTTTTCATTGCTCCAAATACCCTTACTTGGACTGAAATTCAAATTTCTAGCAAAATTGATATATTTCTACAATCGGTTTTTGTTCTGAAACTGCTTTTGTCGTCATACCTAAGTTGAAGTGAAATGAAGTGTTTTTTTTTGTTCCTTGTACATTTGAAAAACAAACATTACAGCTCCTGAATACATCTGACATCTTAATGTCAAATGATGACAAAGATGACAAAAGACATAACAACAGTGTTATCTGTTGTTCTGTAAATCAGGACGAATATGTTTTGTTATGTTTTTTTTTTTTTTGTTCTGAGTTATTTCACTGTTTTTAAATCATGAAAGTTTTACTATTTAAATATTGAGCTACTTGTAATTTTTTTCTTCACTATTTTTTTGGCCTGCAAGGAACTTTCACTGCTATTTTTTTTTTAAGCAGGAATTTAATATACATATTGATTTTTGGTGTCGAAACCACATGCAAGATCTGTCGCCTTGCAGGTTCTAGCTTTACAGACATTTCATAAATGTCAGCAGGTTCAACAGATTTGTGTTATTCATATGGATATTATATTGATGAAATTCGACCTGTCCTTTGGTTTCTGTTACCACTTAACAACCCAAAAGCAGCAAACAGAAAAATTCTGGGTTAAAATTGTTGCATATCCTTAGCAAAAAATGCAACTTAACAAGCGGTTTCTAATTAATTTTGGGACTCAGCTCTTCATTTTGTTAAGTATTATTAGAGCAAATTTAAACTTCAGCTGTTGGGTCCCAAGACTTGATTAGAAATTATTGGTGGTGCATTACCTGTTTAAAAGCATTGTTCATAACGCTGAGTTTTGTTTCACTGTTTATATATATTAGTCCTAACTCTGCCTAGAAAGTAAACTCTCCAGATGTGTTATGTAGAGTTCAGACTTATTTTGGAGCATACTGAAATTGGTCCCAGCTACTGCTCAGTCAATAACAACTACAAAGTACCTTCTCTGAAACCTTGCACTGAAGTTTTTTCCCTCGTGGTTAAAGGTAACAATCTGATGTATGTGGGTAGAAAAAGCCACGATGGAGCACAGCCCTTCTGTTGCTTTCCGTGGCTTCAGAGCAAACAAGGTTTTGCATTGCAGCTTTGATTCTGTAGCTTTATTTGGCAGTGTACACCAAGTCGACGGCGTTCTTATGGGCTGGATTTCCTTTTCTTCCGCTCTGTTGTGGACAAGATTGTTCTGATGCATTTATCAGCAATCATTAATGGTAACCTAGTCTATTTTCTCTAGCTGATGACCACCCCTTTTGCTAGTGGTAAGAGTATGGTGTTCAGCTTTCGCTAAATGGCAGTTAGGGAAAGGAGTAAATGCAGCCTTGTCTGTTAGAGATCTTAAACTCTTTAAAGCTGTTTCTAAGACTTCTGTACAAATCCAGACAAAACATTTGGGTCACAAATCCAGACAGTTTTTTTTAATCTACTTGAAAAAAGGACCTAGATTTGTATTGTTACAGAAACAATGTTATAGATACAACACATATGATAAGGATGGAGATAATTATACCACATGTGTGTGATTTTCTAGGAAGAAGGAAAAAAAAATCAGGTATAAATGGTAAGTATAATTGAGCAACTATTTCAGAATGAACGTAAGACAATTTGGGGAAGTCACCGTTCTAATTTTACCAGACTGATGGCGCTTAGGTTAGAGAAGCAAATCTAATTACTTCCAGTTGGTGAAGGGGCACCAGTGTTTGAAAGAAACTGATTTCATTTTGCCATGTGGATTGATGACTGTTACTGTTCCTATAGTGATAGGTAATTTTTAATAAACACATTTAGGAAATGTTAATATGTTAAGAAGTCTGTAGGAATTATAAAAAGCTTAATTATTCATCAGCTTTATGATATCAGTGGGCTGTGTGTTTGTACATTAATGTAATTGCTTAAAAGTAGCTTTACTAGCATGTATTCAAGATTGTGTTGTTAGAACTTAAAAAATGACTTTCTGGAATACTACTTAAAGCTTGTACCACGTCATAAAGAAAATGGTGTTACCTTCTGTGAGAGCTATATGGTATTTTACATACCTAATGAAACTTACCTGTGTATGCACTTCTGTGCATTACTTGTCCTTTGATTTTTGGAATACTTTTATAAGGAAAAGAAGCATTCCGACTTCTTATTTTAATTCTTACTGATGAATCGCATTCTGTAATGGAAGACTGTATTTCTTAAATGGTTCCTACGGTGATACTGCTTGTTTGCTGAACGTAGTTTTAGGCTATTATGCAGGCCTGTGTTTCTGTCCCAAGGGGAGTTAGAGCACTGTTGCTGTTTTGTCACAGTCAGTGGGTAATGAACCAAAGTAACAAATCATGTTGCTATTTAATTGCAGAATTAAATAATTTGACTGTTCTGCAAGCACAAATGTTGACTTGATCACTGTGTTTGACGAAGAGCTGAATTTAATCTTATAGTGAAGTCTCTACTGTGTTTTAAGTGTTGACAATGAAATATTTTTCTCTTATTGAATAATAGATAAATGTTCAAAATGTAGCACATGCAGAAATGCAGTTTTGTGGTGATAAGGTTTAAGAATTTCCTTTTTGTCATTTGCAATAGTAGTGATACTACTTTTATTCTTGTGCAAAATTTAAATAAGAAGCTTCTAAATCACTTCAAAAATACTGTTTTCCTAAATTGTGGTGATTAAGCATACATACACATCATAAAGAAATACAGTGGATAGACCAAAGAAGAATGGAGAAACTGATAAATTGAGTTTAGTCATAATTTAAAATCGGGTAAAAATGAGAATGGCGAATATGAATTTTTTAAAAGCAATGTGGTGTCTCCAAACTGTCAGTCTGTGCTCTGCAAACTGTACTTCAGTTTTGCAACTATAGAAGGTCTTTTAAGCTCAGTCCTATAACCTCTAAAGTATGCAAATAGTGGTTTTTATTTCACGTGTATATTCTCTTTTAGTTGATTTGGATGCTGAACACAAAGTGGAAAGGTGGAGTGCGTATTTGTTGACTGGATGCTGCTGGTGTAATCAACTTTTAAAAAAACCCCAAACCCACCACCACCACCCCTCCCCCCACCAAAATAATGTTCATTTTCAGAGTAGGGAAAAGGAAGAAGATAGGAGTATCCAAGAGGGGCCTGCAGATGGTCTCAAATCTGCAGTCTGACCCGTGATACACATGGATTCTGCACTTGTTGCTAGTATTCAAGAAACCATGTTAAAATTTGCATTGATCTAACTGAAAGCAGACTTCACTGGTTGCATGAGAAGATAGGTAGCTCAACATAAGCACCAGACTGGAGGTGAGGCGTGGGATATGGTATATAGGTTCTTATACTATAAAAAGAAAGGAATGAAGAATAGTGTAATTGATCAGTGGGATCATTGGGATTTTTAAAATTTTTCTTAGATTGTTGCATTTAACTTGAAATATATTTCTTTATTTGAAAAAAATGCTTTGAGTTTTTCTCACTTTGTTGGTTGCTTTAAGTCTTGTTTTCTTTCTTTCTTTCTTAATGGATAGTCTGGAAGAACACCAAGCTCTGCTGAAAGAATAAACCAGTTTTTTCTTCTTGTTTTTCAGTTGTAACCCAAGACAGTCACATAAAATAGATCACTTCTTAGAATTGGGGTCTCTTTAAAGTACAAATTATGCACTAAAGGTAATTTAGTGCAATAAAATTGCAAAAATATTGTAAGCTTTCTTGGGACTTTCAGTATCATTCCTCTGACTGCTGAAATCATAACTGACAACTGTCTACTTTTACAAATGTCTTGTCTTATATTGGTCTTCCATTTTTTGTGTGTGTAGGTTGCTATGGTGTTGATGGAGAGAGTGACTCTATCATGAGCTCAGCTTCAGAAAATTCCACTGAACCTTGGTTTTGTGATGCATGCAAATGTGGTGTCACACCTAGTTGTGAATTGTGTCCTAACCAGGATGGGATCTTCAAGGAGACTGATGCAGGCAGGTAAGACTGAAGAAGTGATGTTTTGAATTTGATGTCATCCTACATTTAAAAGTTTGAGTTTTGCTCTAGTCTGTTCCTATAGGAGACAGTGTCATAAATTAAACTTTGTTTTTGGTATCCTCTCTATCTCTCCTAACATTTGAGTTAGGAGATTCTTGAGTTAGGGTATTCTTTGGATAGTCAGTCACCTAATTTTTTGTGTGCTTCTAATATTCTTCATGTCCATTACAATATTAGGAAGATGTTGTCTTAAGATGAATTTGAGCATGAAAATTTTATGTACATATGAGCAAAAGATATACCTAGGTGAAACAAAGATCACCATTTCCTTAAGGTACTGATAGATCCTGTTCTTCAGTATGAAGTCACCAGGTTATATGCATATACATGTCTTATTGGATATACTAGAAGATCTTCCTTTAAACTACTTGAGTCATGCATCTTTTTTAACAAAAAAACATGCTGGTGAAGGTGGTGGGAGTCTTGGAAAAGAAACTTTTTTTTTTTGTTTGCATCAGGAGTGCAGTTTACATGTAAACAAAGAGGTTTCCTGTGTAGAGGAAGTTAATATCCTGTAAACTCTTACTTGGTATTCAGACATCTGCAAGGATGATGGCCTGAAAGACTTATCTTACTTAACCAATGGCTTGAACTATTGCCAGCAGGGACTGGGGATCAGAAACCTAATAAAAATCGTGTATTTGTTTTGGGTTTGCTCAAGCTTGGAGGCTGCAATGAGAAGAGCAAGGGTTTGAGTCCCTTGAGCCCCACTGCTGAATACTATGTTCCAGCAAGGACAGCTGGTGGGGCTGGTCACAGTGGTTCTCTTACGGTGACTGAGCTTGTAGTGGTCAGTATCTGCCGTCAGTCTCTATAGAATTTGAGCACGTGTTCTGCTAGTGCAATTCAATCAGCTGCCAGAAAACTGCATTTTATGCTAGTATTGTGCTTCTTTCATGGTTAATCCTGAAAAGTAGCAAGACACTGAAGTGCTGTTCTTTAGTTTATAATGCCACAAAAAAGAATGATGACGTCTGCAACAGAGGGGGAAAACACCTTCCAGACTTCTTGTCGTATTTGACTGGGCGATGTACATGGCTATGGGGTAAATCAAAGCATGTGCTCCATTTCAAGGAAGGAAAAGTAGACTTTATCCTCTCTGTATTATTCTGCTTTGTGCAAGGTAACGCTCCTGCAACCTTGTACAGACTCTGCTCAAGTCGGTTGACTTTAAAGTATGATAGAAGTGGGAAGACAACTCCATGCTTCTTTTTAGGAGAGCTAAGGACTGGGTGTTGCTGATGTCAGGTAATGGGAAAAAGTAGGAATACTATATTGAAGTTGTGCTAGAAATATTCACACAGACCTAGTATATTGTGATTATTTTGAATGATGAAAATTATATCCTTGATTTTTGAGAGTAAACTTCACTTCTGATAATTGCCATCCACAGATAGGCTTTTTAGGAAGGAGTTCAAGTCTAATTTGAGAATAAGCAGATTAATTGTCATGTGATGTCTTCCATTCCTGTCATGTTTAGAAAATAAATTAATATGTAGATAGTAACAGTAACTAATTTTCTATAATAAAGGAGAGAGCAGGTTTATCAAGTGATGTCTGATTTATGGCTAGTGTTACTGTGTTTTGGTGGGTAGTTGTTTTTTGGGTTTTGTGTGTTTAGGTTATTTTTGGTGGTGTTTTTTTTTTTTTTTTTTTTTTGGTGGGGAGGTATTTTTTTAGACCATGACAATTAAGTTCTTTTTCCATATATTTTACAGTTATATATCCAGATGCTGGGCCTGTCATAAGCTTTTCATTAATCATTTTAACATGGGAAACCAGTAAGTTGGTAGACTGTTCAGAGGAAAGGGAAGCTTTCTTAATATCTGTTTGAGATAAAGGAATATAAAAGTCTGCAGACATATCTTACTGATGATGATGGATGAGTTGGAAAGAATCCAGTTAAATATTCACTACAAGAACAGATACTTTATGTACTCTTAAATTCAGATATGTCAACATGTGTTACTGTAAAGGCTTTTTTGTTTTTTAGTATGAATTCATAGGCACATTACTATTTACTCTTAGCTATATATTGTAGAACATTTTTTGTACTAGCAAATTGCAAAATATAACCATGTCCTCGCTCTTTCTTCCCCCACTGGTTTGTAGTGGTCTTGATGTTTTTCCTACTTATGTGAAGTGAAGAGTTCCCTGGTTAGACTTGCACAAATGCTAGGAAGTGAGTTACAGTGAAGTAAAAGTTCAATCTCATCATCTGTGTTAGCAAGCTTTTCTACATGTTCTCACTTCAGTATACAGCTGTCCTGTAATGTATGCATAAGCATATCCATATCTGTCTTTCCCCCCCAGCTTTTTTTTTTCCCCAGTCCTTTGGTATTTTCTGTGGGGTTTTTTGTTTTTGGTGTTTTTTTTTTTTACTTTCCAGTCTTTCACAGATTTTACTGCTGCTAATACTGTAACAATCTGGTCCTGTTATCATTAAAAGCTCAGCAGAGCTCAGGACAATGTTTTGGAAAGCTTTTTTTCAAATACTATGTTGTCTGTCTTCAGAAAAGTAAATACAGTATTACAATGTCATAAGTTGATTCAGGTTTTATGGATTAAATTGTACTGCCCTTGCATTTCTCCCTTAGTTTCTATTTTTTCCTGATAGCAAAACCAGTTTGAGTTTGTGTTGGGAATAAAGAGATAACGAGGATATTCATAACACTGAACATAACACTAAAGCTAGCAATAACCTTTGGAGGCATCTACCTTTCTCCACTGAGTATACATTTGAGCTCAACTTCTCCATTTGTAGTGGACATGCATTTTAAAGATATACATACGGCATGTAAAAGAAATGTTTTATCCTTTCATGTCTTCTACATGCATCTTATAAAAGGGAAACAATGAAAGTAGAAGAAAATACTGTGTATTTCACAATTGAGTCAGGATTTGTAGTGAATAATTTTGACCCTGTAGAAGCAGTTGTGCTTCTTTTTAAATACTTTCAGGGTTCAGATACTCAGTTTCTGGTTTGTCTTAGGTTCAGTAGTGTCTATGCATGTCCCTGTTACACAATTAAACAAATAGTACTTCTCAGTTCTGTTTTCTGTTTTAATAATAATGCTGCTATATGGAAAAGTTTTTAAAGTAAATTGTCTAATAGTTAGGAAGTGTGATAATCGATAATCACCTGGCAAATTCAGCCTTTTTATTCTGGTGTTCTGTTTAGGCAGTTTAAGCACTATCTATGTAATTTCCCATATAACCATAATAGAAACTACAGTCAACATTTTAAAAATTCCTTAAATTTCTTCTGGTAAAATGGTAGTATGCTACGTGGAAGTGTTTCCTCTGTGACACTGGTTCTCTGTGCAGAAGCACATGCCCACTTTGGTGAATGCGGGCATTAAGACAATAATTTGTTATTATTATTATTGTATTTTTACCTGGTAGATAATGTGATATGGCTGTCATGTGTAAGTATAAGTTTATTCTCCCAAGTGAATAGAGTTTATGTACTAGAAAAAAACAAATGCTAACTACCATATGAAAATTCGTGTGCTCTCTTTCTTTCTGCCATTTATTTACAAATTTGAATTCTCAAGGGTAATGGGGCACTACAGGGCTGAGGGTAGGGTCTTGGAGCAGGCAATGTCCATTATGTTTTCATTATACTCAGCAAACTGCAACCCTATTCAGTTCATTTCTTGAAATACTAGAAGAGAGAAGCTACCGAATAACAGAATCCTTTAACTCACCATTGCTTTCCACCTTTTTTAAAATAAATTCTTCATATGTATCAATGCTGGAAATTGCACAGTGGTGAGACCGAACGTATTTGGTTTCTCTTCATAATCAAGTTGGAATAATTCCTTCGTTCCTACGTAAAAGGTGAATCATTAGAATAATGAGGTGCTTAATTTCTCTGGAGAAGCCTTTTCACATTAACCTCTCGGTTTCACAAACACAAATGTGAATTTATGAAATATTATTGCTCAACATGCTAATATCCAATAATATGAATTCTGTCCTTGTTTCAGTATGGAGTTTTTCTTCTTCCTTAATCAACATCTGTCGTCATTGCTGCAAGCTAAATGGATGGTAAAGTAACAAGGAAGACTATTCTTCTTTGATTACCCAATTTGTCTTAATTACAAGCTTCTAAAACATGTGCAGCTAAACAAATGAGCAGAAAAATGTTTAGAACTGGTATTAAAAGCAACTGAAATTGCTTCAGCTGTGAACTTGACTGATGTGTATGTTTTTTAATAAAGATTCAGGTCTTGAGTTCGCATATAGGTGGTTAAAGAAATGAGGCACTTGTGTGCCAATCACACTGAAATGGCAGTTTAAATCTGTAATACTGTAATACTTGGGTGACATGTACTAAAACATTTTGAGAAGGTCAGTATGAAGCAAGCAGCCAGCTGTTGGGTTTATCATAGATAAACTACTACAGAGTGCAGCAGCATTTAATACACCAGTGGAGCATGAAAAAACTGTGCAAATTAAATTGAGAAGCAGCTGCTTGTAGAAGATGTGTATCTTTATATTGAACTTTGGAGGGTACATTTAGGAGGCTGTATTAAAACTTACTATCAAAAATCTCCAACCAGAACCTTGGATTTTTGTTACGAATAGTAATCATGGAGATATGTAACTTCTGTTTATACAAATTTGTTCCATATAGCACATCTTAAATTAATGGCAGAGTATAGAAAAGGAGCCCTACAGGATTCCGATGGTTTTTATTTACAAACAAGTAGTGTCTTTATCTTAAAGTTACAGGTATTACTCTGTGTGTGGTATTTTGATTTAGAAAAAAAATTCTAAGTGGTAAATTAGGTAAATTAAGAACCTGAGTGATTTAACAATAGGGCTAAAACTTGTTTTCAAATACACAGGTGAAAAGAGTCTTGTCAGACAGGATGCTATGGATGCCAGTGTTGTGGCTTATGCTAGATTTACCGAGAACTTTCTTACAGAATGAAGTTAGTTAGTGGCTTCTAAGTAGTTTCTTTCTTTTACTGGGATTTTTCTATTATCCAGTTATCATGGACTATTTTTTTGGGAAAATGCTAAATAAACAGTCTATCCACCAGTTTTGTACGTTGCAAAATCATTTTCTTTTGTAAAGACTTAAACATGTATGTATTATTTTTGAGCTTACTATTGAAGCTTTCATATCTTGCTTTTTTGGCATTTGTTTGGACATACGAGTCGTGTATAATTAACATGCAACTTAATAATTCTGAATCTGATAAGTTCCAGCATCAGAAGTCTAAGGAGCACTGATGAAAAACGTGCTGATTTGGGAAACATGGGAAATCAGGCTTACATGTAGCTCCTAATTAGTATAACCATCAGCTTCAGTATTGCTCTCATCTGTAGACAACCAGTTAATAACAGGTTAATAAATATGCTGTTTAAATGCAGATAAAAGGAGGATCTTATCATTTTGGTCTGGACTGAATTTTCTTAATGGACACACAAAACAAAGAGGAGGGAGAAGAGATAGGCTAAACAGTGGTAGAAGACTGGGGGAAAAACAGCACAGCAGCATGGATGCAGATTTAAGTAGGTGGTAACAGGTCTGTGCTGAACCCCTGTTTTTTAAGGAGATTGGAAGATTGCAGGATGTGAGTAATGAAAGAGCCAAGGGAAGAAGTCTGGCATAAGCATCAGTCGTCTTGAATACGGGGAGTAGAGTCTATGATTCTACTGGATGAGAACAGATGCATTAGTTTTCACTAGTGATACATTTACTGGTAAACGTTAATGACTGGGAAGATTGTGCAGTGCTGAATTAACATACTTGCTAAGGGTCATACAGAGGATATTTCAGCTCAGTTACATAGTTGTATCCCATGTCATCTGGGAGCTGGTAGGTTCAAAGTGGTGGCTACACACCTCTGCAGTCATAGGGCTGTTTTCTTGCATGTTTTAAGAAAACAAAGTAGCAGTGTTGACCTTCTGACTGTGACAGTTTGCTCCCACCTAGTGACTTAGCAAGGGGTAGCAAATACTTCCTGGAATTTTGATAAAACATTATTTTTGGGAGGAACACTTCTTGGGGTAGTTTGTCTCAGTTCATTTGAGTCATGCATGCTGTGTAGAACAGATTTTGAGTTTGTCACTAACTGATGGTTTGTGACAATAAGCGTTGGAACTTTTTAAAAGTGTTTATTATGTAAGAAGAAGAAAATGTGTGTTCTGCTGCAAGGCTGTCTTTTGGTAACTGAGAGCTTCTGGAGATTATGAGGATGTCTGTCAAAGGCAGACTTGATCCTGAAGATTTTATCACTGTGTTGTATTTAATTACTAGGCACTGAGGTCCAGATTCATGCTGTCTTGTTTTATGCCCCTCAGGGCTGAAGATTTAGAACTATTACCTTCCAGTTTGTTTATGGCCAGAGAAGAAGAGCACAGCTAAGTAACAGTCTGTTCATCTGACTTTAGATAGGCATTTCTGTAATACAACTCAGGTATGTTTATAGCTGAATGCAGCTCCTATCTGTGTTGCTTAAAACTAGTTAGTTTTGGTGATGCTAACAGGTGTAACTGTAACCATGAAAAGTCTGAGAGATGCTGTGTTGTGGGGACTTCATAGCTATATGCCTAGAGCTTGGTGTTGCTGTGACTACCTGTATAATTTTGTTACTCCCCTTCCTATCCCCTGGCCCATCGCCTAAGTATTTGTCAGCCTTAGCTTTATAAGTAATATCAAAATCCTCATATTTGTTTCATGTTGCATAAAAAGCAGCGTGGAGCCCCACGTGAGAGCCATCAGAACAGAAAGGTGATGGTAGCCCAGCCTTGATCCAGAGAGGCAGAGCAAAAACTCTGTGGCTCAGTGTGTGAGCTGCTGAATTCCAAATATGTGTTCTCTCCCTGCTTCTAATGTACTTCCCTTCGAACACACTTCTTCTAGCATCTGTGATGTTTACAAGGCACTTTGAAGTCCGCAAGTGGTGAGTATAATATAGGAACAAAATGTTGATAACAGTAACTTAATTTTATCTGCTGTTTTAGGTGGGTCCATATTGTTTGTGCCCTCTATGTTCCAGGAGTGGCATTTGGAGATATTGACAAACTGCGGCCAGTAACACTGACAGAAATGAATTATTCAAAGTACGGTGCCAAGGTAAGTTTAGGAGAGATGTTCTGCTAACGAGTAGCTTTATTTCACATTTTCATAATAGAATAACATATATCTTCCCAACAAAAATATTCTTGCTTGTAGCAATTGCAGTAAGTTTCAGGACTATAAATGTGGTGAAGTTTGTTCTTGGTTGTTATACCATTGCTTTTCCCTCCCTCTTTTCTTTCTATTTTCCTTACCACTGTTCTCCGTAATTCCTGTTACTGTTTTCCTCCTAATTTCCTTTATTTTTTACGCAAGTGCTAATTACTTTCTTTTAAAGTCAGTTAGTGGCAGATTGCCAGAATGTGGATGGAAAATAAAGAGGATTTATGTTATGCAAAATAGAGAAGTGGAAGGTTTGGTTGAGTAAGAAAGCAACAGATTCAGTGAGAATTACTTTAGGATCTATATAATGATAAGCTAGAATGCATACAAAAAGGTTGCTGCAAAGCAGTACTAAAAAAACCCAACAACACAGCACCATGGGGCCTTCAACTTGAACAGAAAAATGGCTCTAAAATTAAAATGGTTTTACATCTAAAAGTTTTCAGTCCAGTTCAAAAGTGATCATGCACAAACTGTACAGAAAACCGTTGCAATGGGCAGAGGACAGCACTTGGTAATTCACTAAATACTGTTTCTGTAGCTAAGGGGACAGTGTAGAGAAGCCATATCTGTCAGGCCAATGTGAGGGAAGGTGGTTGTCCTCCTGCTGCTCTAATGCTTCATTTATACATAGGCAATTTCATTTCATGGAGTGTCAGCTTGTGAAGTTGAATGCTAAATGAAAATATACAGTACATTTTTAAAAATACATATAATATGTAAAATAAATGAAAACACTTTGGATTGCCCATGTACAACATACCTGTATCGGAAGCATGCTCAGCATGGGTCTGCTGAGGCATTTAGCATTGTTCAGAAATGTTTGTATAAAAAAAAGTCACAGCAAGCTCCCAAAAACCCTACAAACTGTTGTTGCAATGAATTGTGCATTTATATAGGAGCAGGGCTGAGAGTTTGGGCATTTTCTTACTGTAAGGTAGGTGAAAGTGAACTGCAGACATGAGGATTCATTAGTCTCACAGAACTGTAAACAAATGCTGTTTCCTGTATTGAGTCTGGAAATTACAGCTTACTTAGCTAAATTTCCCCCTGCAAAACCAGCTTGATATAATATTCTTTTTCACTTCATTTCTTATCTGTTAGGTGTTGCTGTTACACAGCTAAAGGGTGCCCTTCTAGTGTAGTGTATGCAGTGTTTTGAGATTCTTCAATTACCGAGTTTTCTTTGCCATTCCCTTCTGACGTTGTTTAACTTCCTGCATGGAGATGTTTTCTGTAGGTGATACACACCTTTGCTCTGTACTCTGTGTGTGAGAGATTAAGAAATGCCCTCCTGTATAATTTTGTGTCATCGTGATGCACTGGATAGTAGCACTGTTTAAGCAGTCCATGTTCCCATTTGCTTGTTCCTGCTTATGTGCTCGTCATTCTAGTTTGCTGGCACAGCAGTTTGGTATGAATCTGTGGTGAAACAGGCTGAGGAATTGATCTGGCTGAAAGTTTTGGGGTTTTTTTCCAGGTCACATTAAGGAGCGTCAGTTTGCTGTGTTGCAAATGGCTGTGCCTAGAATGCATGTAGCTGAAGCCATAGTGCAGTAATTGAGTAATTAACCTTCTTTAATGATATTTACAATTCTTGAGTGTTTCTTTCTGCATTGTCATGCATTTACTCCCAGTCATTGCTTATTAAAGGACATCTGTGTAATAATCTGTGATTTTTAGTCATCCAGAGCACTGCTCTTTTTTTGTTGTTTGTCCTCTGAACTTGTTGAACAATTGAACATTTGCTGAGCAGTAATGTTCTTTTATGATACCATACCTATATAGTTAATTGTGCATGACTTGCTTGGGTGGTATTTAGTTGTTGCTCTGAAGGGCAATACAAGACATGGGAGTTCATATAAAAATTCATCCAAGGTGGTGGTGTTTAAGCACCTCTCCATTGCTTGTTGAAAATGAAATCAATAGTGGGAGTTGTGAAGGGGTGAAGTTTTAATTAGTGTCAACTGTCAGCAGCATACTTGGTTTCTGTCCCACACAGGAGTAAGCCTACCTGTTTGGTTTTTATATGCAAGATGTATATTATCAAATATTAGGCAAAACACACCTGAAATAATTACTGTGGCATTTTCCACTCTTCTTTATAAAGGAATGCAGTTTTTGCGAAGATCCTCGTTTTGCCAGAACTGGTGTATGCATTAGCTGTGATGCTGGGATGTGCAGAGCTTATTTCCATGTGACCTGCGCTCAGAAGGAAGGCCTTCTCTCGGAAGCAGCAGCAGAAGAGGTAACTATGGAAAGGATAGAATAAAAGAGTTGTATCAAAAACTTGTGAAGACAACCTGAAATTGTGCCTTTATTGCTTACTAACCCTGAGCAGAGTTTTTGTAAATTGATAGCAAGTCGTAGGCCAAGTAAAGGGACTGTCCAAGGAGGGGTCTTTGTTCACCAAATTGCCAACTCTGAGCACCTTTTGAAATGGCCTGGAAAAAGCGATAGAGAAGGTTAACACAGAAGTTGGCTTAATAGACTATCAGTCAGTACATACATGAATTGCAGCTCTCGCTTTTGAACTTCATCTAGGTTGACATACTTACCTAGCTGTTTATATAGTGTAGCAATCCCTTTCATACCAAATAGGACTGTCTTGAGAAATTAACTACATTTCTAATGCCACTTTTTCCAGTGTTTTCTTCAAATTGCAGTACAGGTATATGACTTTCCTTGTGGTAACATTAATCTTAAGAATCAGAATGAAAAGCAAACATTTATAACTTACTGATATCTCTTCTTACCAGTTTTCTCTCTATAATATGATTATAGCAATTTAGATTTGAAGCGCCTACTTCCAAATTCATTTTTACAGTATAAGTACTTTTAGGTTGCCAAATTTCATCTTGATATGTATCATTTGGATTAAGCCTGTCATGTTCATAGCTGTACAATTTAACTACTTACTGCCTTAGGAAGTACCACAGGTAACACACAGAAAAGTGTGATTTGCACTATTGACATTGACACTTTTATTTCTCAAAACAGCCAACCACTGAGTGATTCTTAAAGGAATCATAAAATACTTTCTTCTGTGAGACTGATAAATAGGAAGATAGCACAATTACCTTGTTGTTGTTCTACCTAATAAATTATGTGTAGGGTTGATTGTTGAAACACTCTGTGTGAATTTCTTCTAGGCGTATGCATTTACTTGCCTTTCCACCTTTAAAATTTTGTTACATGTTTTCCGTAACCAAAATATTTTTAATCAGGGACTCACACAATCTAATTTTAGGGTGCTGCTAATTTTTGGAAGTAAGTTGCCACACATTCTGAAAATCTAAATCAAAGTAAAATACATTTGTAAGGAAAGCCTGTGTAGATTTTATTGGTCTGTGTTTTATAGGTGGAGTAAAGGAAAATTCGATAGGCAGATTATTTATTAATTTTTTTATTACTTTATGAAGGAAGACTGCTTTAAGTTTTTCTTCTTAGTCTGTAGATTTATGATGATGTTTCTACACTTCTGAAAATATGCTGGCAATGAAATATACTTCTCAAACCATATATCCTTATGTGGTCTAATTGCAAGGTTTGCTAGTGCTAAAATTTGCTATGAACTTACAGCCATGATAGTGTTCAAATCTGATGGAGTGAAGAATGAAAAATGGGAAAAAAAAAAAATCATCTGAGAGATGATAAATCACATAGGGGTATATCCACCAAAACCATTTGGAAAATCATTTGAGAAAGCCAAATATATTGCCTTTTGTATTATTCAAAATTGTTAATCCCATGTAGGATATAATGCAAAGGACACAGTGAAGTAACAGGAAGTTAATGGGATTGTTAAAAGGATTTGTACTTTGGAATTTCTGCTGCTGTTTTTTCTGTGAATGAGAAAATAGTACAGAGATTGAACAGTAGAGAGTTAAATAGTTCCTGCATTTAGAGTTTTGGATCATGCAATGAAAACAATGGAAAAACACTTTATATGGTAAATTACATCAACGTGACAAAATTGATTTAGAAACATACGTATCAGTTGTTCAGACAGACATGTTTTTAAAAACATGTGAACTGATTGCCAGAATATTTGTGCTGCTCAGAGCCTTTTGGCCTTGTATGTCTTACTTTATTTTTGTTCCTTCCCCTTTGTTTTCTTTGAAACAGGATATAGCTGACCCTTTTTTTGCTTATTGTAAACAGCATGCGGACAGGTTAGACAGAAAATGGAAGCGGAAGAACTACTTGGCATTACAATCTTACTGTAAAATGTCCTTGCAGGAAAGAGAAAAACAGCTTTCACCAGAAGCTCAGGTATTATTTTCATGACGCAAATGCATCTGTATTCTTAAACAAGAAAGAAATGAAGAGGATGGAAAATTGTTATTATAATAGCAAATGAAATGTGAAATACATTGATAGTGCATGGTCATTTAACAAAGCAGAAAAATATTTGTAGGTTTTGTTCTCTAAGAACAATTCTTAATAAACTAATTATCAAGTAGAGATATCTGTATTTGTCTGAATTAAAAAAATCTTACTTTGTTTTGTTTGTGGCAATAAGTTGGTAATTACATTTTCATTGTAATTCATAGATTTTGTTTAACATTTTCTTCAAGATTCTTAACCAAAAAAAGACAGCCAGACAAGAAATTAGGCATATTTCTTCATCCAAGTTCAGTAAAAATTCACTTATTTCCCTTAGTAATATTTTGAACTTGGCATAGGCGTTTAGCTTGCTTAAAGTTTTTTCTTGTTAGATCCCTTTTCACTTTTTATAGGCCTAAGTAAAATTCTGTGTGCTGGGTTTTTTCATAGTAAAAATTTCCTAGAAAAAAAAAATTATGTAGGTAGAGAAACTGAGTCTGTGCTGCTGAGTGGGAGTTATCTGAAAATCTGGTGCAACATCTATATCCCTGTCTAGCGGCAGATTCATGTAAAACTATTAGTAACTGCATAAGCTCAACCAATAAATGTCCTGTTGATGTAAAGGTTTCAATCCTTCTGAGGGAACGTGTGTACTTTGATATGCTTTAATGTATGTACTTTATTATTTTTTCTGGTTCTGAGCAATTGATGCCATACTTTGCTTTCACTGCTTAGGCTTAACTGCATTCCGTGGAAAAATCGTACCTGTGTAGAAAAGCAGCTTGTTATCTGACTGAATCCTGCCTAATTTGTTGTAGAAAGTAGCAGATGATGTAAATAATGGAAGGCAGCTATGGGAGAGAAATAACTGCTTTTTTTCTGAAGGGAGAACGGTAGTGTAATGATCAGAAAATAAATTTTCATATCATCAAACTTTTTATACCTTTCTCGTTCTTCAAAGATCTTTGAATAGGAGAAGAGAATATTAATTTAGAATGACGTGTGCAGTTGAGAATGAATATGAGCAAACTCCATCACAGAAGAATTTTTAATAAAATATTTCTGTGGGGTGTTGAGCTTTGTGTAGCTTGATTACTGGTTACATAATTCTTGCTGAAGACACTCAGCTCTCAATTATGTGAAATGCACCTATGTAGTGGAGAAATCACAATAATATGAATACTACCCAACATAATGGTAAGTGCTGGTTGTGCAAAATCAGTTTGGGTCCAACAGGGCTTATTAGCTCTGTTTTCAGGCATTTGTTACGTGGCACTGATAATGCTGATAAGTTCCCAGCATTTCCCTCTCTTCCTCCTCTTTCCCCCAAACCAAGACCCTGCAGAATTTTTTAATCTCAATTATTTGGATTAAATGTTTGGAAACTGAAAGAATTAATGCTGAAAACTGGAGGTAGAGTTACTTGATATGGTGCCATAGGGACCTTGATATGAATTTGTTAACTTGCATACATTTTGTAAAACCACTTCATTTCACTATTGATGGCTCTGGTGTTGTATGAGTTTGCATCAGTATTGTGTGTGTGTGTCTGAGTTTACGTGGATGGAAACAGATTGGATGCTTGAAAAATACATTTCCATGTCCAGTTGTATGTATTGGGATTTTATGAAGTAATTGAGTGGTTTTTGTGCCTTTTGCAAAATGCTGAACTGTGAAGGCTGTTTAATATAGACTAGAAATGTCTCACTGGGGAGCTGACACAAAGCACCAGTAAATTCACCCCTTACTTTACTATATGTTATCTGCATGAGGAAGTTAAAATCCCACCAGTAAATTCAACCATCTTTGTTAAATTAGGATTTTGTCTGAGAAGTAAGAATCTTGAGACAGCTTAGTCTGGAAAAAAAGATGAAATAAATGTATATATAGTGTGTATATAGATACGTACATACGAAAGCTCACTTCCAGGGGAGTTTCTAGGCTTAGGTAAGGTTTACAAACATTGAGCTAACAAATATCTGGTATTGTGAAAGTGGATTTTTAAGTCACACTTTTGAAGGAGAAAAAATGGATATTTGGTGCTTTGTAGCCCAGGCATGAATAACTGAGCCTATGATCTGGCAAGTCATGTGGCCCAAGAAAGTAAATCCCTCTAAAGAGTGTAATATACAAAGCTATCCAGGACTGTTACTGATTTTTGGAAGATGCTCTACATTGAAATACTTTTTTTAATGTCAGTAAAGGAAATGTACATTCCTCGAGTAAAGCATAGACTTGAAAATTGCTTAAACAAGTGACTTGAGTTCAGGATTCTATTTAGACATTAGTCATTTTTATGTGTCATCTATTTTCGGAATAGGGCTCTGGGTATACAGTTGTATGACATCTTAAGTGACCCCAAGGGCTTCAGAACTGAGCACGTCAGTAAAGAAGCATCTTAGCTGAGGAAGCTATAAACCATCCTTGGTCCTTCCAGTGGAGAATAAAACAAGGCGGTGGCTGTAGGTGGATCTGTTGCTTGCTGCAGTAGGTCCAAGTAAAAAGCCCTTGGGGTCAGAGCTGGCCTGCAAGCCACATTTGCCATGTTTCTTGGTCATTAATGTTCAAGACCTAGTAAGGTAACGTGTGTTAAACTGTCTGTAATGTTACCTTCAATGATTCTGTTTGTAATCAGAGATGTTCCTTAACTATAGCATGTATATATATATACACACTTTTTTGCTTTTGTCTCAGGAGTATCTCATACCATATGGTGGAGAAGTCTGATTAGTTTAGTTTCTTCTTTCTGCAGGCAAGTAAACAACTTCTAACTGATAGTCAGATGGAGTTTTGTCTCTGAAGGTTTGTGTGTTGACGTTGTTTTCTGCCAGAGTTGCCATTACATAGAGTTCCCGCAAGACAGTGGTTTCCAATTGTCAGTAACAACTTGATCTTCTGAGGCTGATCTCCGAGATGGTCACATATATACAGATGTCATCAACAACATATATTGTGAGCTTCTCTTGCCTACTTCAGTTCTGTTTGGGTTGTGTTTTTTTGGCACATTTAACATTTATAAAAAGATACGGCATTGAGAAAGGAGTTCGTACGAAAGGCTGTCAAACATGGCAAAAAAGCTCTTCTTCAACTTTCATTGCTCACATAGATACCAATTTAAAGTCTACCTAAATGTGTTTGCCTAGATGGCTGATCAAACTTTAAAGTCTACATTAGGTAGACTTTAAAAAAGCCAAGGCTTTTCCCGGTAGTAAGTTTTCATAGTCCCATCAAATTATCATTACTAGAAGGGATTGTCTGAAAGCCAGCAATCATTTGTGTTACTTTCATTGGTGGAGAAAGCTCATCAAGAAACCTGTGCATAGGTCCAAAACCTAGTGAAAGGATAATGTTATTTGTGTACGTGTTTTGAAGTAAAATTAAATGTCTGTATCAGTGACTGTTTCTTGAGTCGTAGGGTTCCAGAATGAAAATGGCATTGATTAGACCATGCGTCTTTTAAAATTGAGATAAAATGCAGATGTGTTCCAAAAGGATATAACTCAAAACCAATTTTGAATTGTTCCCTTATGTTTTTAATTTATGGTAATTCTTTATTGCAGGCTCGAATCAATGCCAGGCTACAGCAGTACCGTGCCAAGGCGGAGCTGGCCCGCACCACCAGGCCTCAGGCCTGGGTTCCCCGGGAGAAGCTGCCACGACCACTTACTAGCAGTGCTTCAGCCATACGTAAGCTTATGCGCAAAGCTGAATTAATGGGAATTAGTACAGACATTTTTCCAGTGGATACTTCTGATACCAGTTCCAGTGTTGATGGAAGAAGAAAACATAAACAACCAGCTCTCACTGCTGATTTTGTGAATTATTACCTGGGTAAGGATGAAAATTGCATTTTTCTCAATGAAAAATTGCCACTTGTCTGTATTTGTACTGTGCTAATTCATTGGGTTTTTTAATTTTACTTGTATTTCATTTGTATTAATATATAATTATGAATAACTTGATTTTACGTCAGGTATATTATTGCTTGGTATCTCTATTTACACAGAAGGTTATTTTTTAAAAAAGACATTTAAGAAAAGAAGAAAATCTTTCAGATATAAACAGGAGGCTAAACTGTCTGTGATAAGAAGGGAGTGGAAGCTTAGGTACCTGTTGGTATAATTTTTTTTTTCCTTACATTTTCCTCCATTTCTGTATGGAATAGCATGACTTTGGGAGTGTTTGCCTAGATGGCTGATCAAAGCTCACCTTTTAAGTAACTATACTATTTATGCAGCAAAACGTGAATGTTATGACTGTTCATTCTACTCGGTCTGTGTAATAAATGATAGTTTTGTGGGGTTTTTTGATACGGTTTTATGCTTTTAATTGCTTCACTTTTTTCAGTGCATAAAACTTGAAAATATATCCAAGGATAGGAAGTAATGCAATTTTCTTTTAAATAGAGAGAAATATGCGCATGATTCAAATCCAGGAGAATATGGCTGAACAGAAGAATATCAAGGATAAATTAGAGAATGAGCAAGAAAAGCTTCATGTGGAGTATAATAAGGTAAAGAACAAGGGATAATAAACCATTGTACTGTTTTAGTATTGCTGCTGTTAACTTTGCATTAGGTTAAATACAAAAAGCACAGCATTTTGTTTTCCAAACAGAATTATTTAGAAAGAAAATGACAAACTATTCTTTCTTTAAAAATAATATTTGAAAATGGGTTTCTTTTAAAAATATTCTGTGGTTGTTCCCCACCCCCAATTAAAATCAACTAAACTGTCATATGTTGGCTGGGAATGAGTCCTTTAACTGACCCAACTGAGAGCTCTGGTAACAAACTGCACGTGGACAGACAGGTCCATCTCATGGGTGTTATGAGTGTCATTTATTTATTTATGTTAACTCCAACTGCAGTTGTGTTCATCCTAGGTTTAATGAATTGGCCAATTTTTCAGGCTGAAATAACAAGTATTCACCCATCCATAGTGTCCTCTGTGTGTTTTGTTTGAGTATAGGAAACTTGGGGCCCATAAATGATGGCATTGCTCCCCCAAAATGTTGCTGATGTAATTTTTTTATTAACTCATCACCATGGTTAAAAAAGCACTTTGTGTTTTAATTGCGTTATTACTAAATAAATATTTATTTTAATTTTTAAGTATTTTGAAATGGAGCATAGAAATACTGTATCTTTTGTGATAGATGACATGCTGCAATTCTTGCTGAATTCAGAACCTATCAAGTGATGGTCAGTGATGACAAAAAAATAGTGTTGCCATTAATTCTTAAACTGCTGGGTGTGTGCTTTAAATGAGAACATACGGAAACGAAACAGCAGGTCCTTGTGAACTCCTAAAGATGGCAAAGGGCAAGGAGATTGTGTGTGGGTCTTTTAACCAAATTAACAGGTCGTATATAGTTGCTTCCAGAAGAAAAAAGCCTTTTGTTCTGCTTTCATCCTTTAATAAATTATATCTCTTTCTATGAGAGTGAGTGAGTGTTCTTTGGTATGGCAATATAGAACTTTAATTCATTTATATGGTTACTTGTTATAATCTTGCTGCTTAGGTTTTATGGACAACACATACAAGATGTTGCTGTATTTTAGTTTTGCTTTCTAATTGATTTTATAAAACCTTATTTTCATGCTGAAATGCTTCAGATCTTCTTTACAAAACAGGTGGCTGCCCAGGTTTTCATCTTAGTTCTGTTAAATTGCTGAATGATTGCATTGGTCTCAGCTATATTGACATGAGTTCCATTGCTTTTTAATCCCGCAATAAAGTAATGCACCCTAGATAGGTAAGAGGTTGAATAAATTTTATTAAATAACTCCTAATAGGTTTTCATACCTTTTCATTTTTTTTTTCTTTAACTTTTCAGCTGTGTGAGTCCTTGGAAGAGCTACAAAATATGAATGGAAAACTGCGAAACGAAGGGCAAGGCATTTGGGCTCTGCTGGGTAGAATCATTGGACAGGTTGGTTGTTGTTCCCCTCCCTGCCCCTTATGGTTCGTAGGCAAAGTTGGTTTTCCAAGAATAGCTCTTTTTGTTTCTCTCTCTCTCTCGCTTCTATGGCCAAATAAATTGATTTGGTCAGACCTGGACTTCACTCTGGGGATAATGTTTCCTGATTGAAATACCTAGACTTCTGCAAACCATCTACTGGGAACCCGTAGCTTAATTTTGTTGTTGTAATAGCAATCTTTGTTTCATTTGGTATAACTGATTGACTTGTCATTTGTGATGAACCTTAACATGAAGCATGAGTTAATCCTACCATTTTTGTCTCCACATTGTCTTTAGTTACTGTAGGCTTCAAATGAGATGGTAACTCTTTATGGCTTTTATAAGAGATAAATCTTTAAAACTGCAGTATGTATGTAATGGTTTTTAACTTGATAGAGCAGAATATTTTGGTCAAATGAATATAAATATCTAGAAGAGAAGATTTGGATTACTTCCTGTTGCCAGCAATTATCTTTGTTCTCATTGATACATATGGGGAAAAGAGAAGTGTGATTCTTGTAGTGTTTTGATATATGTTTTATGTCAAAGGTATTAAATGGCAATGGACATTTTAGATATCAGAGACTGAAAATGATGATTTTAAGGAAGATTGAAGAAACTGTTCATTGTGAAAATGCAGACGTACGATTAGGTTACAGTTTTGTCATGCCCTTTGGTACTGCTGAATTTGTGCTGCTGTTCAGAAAAATGAAGCTTACCCTTTCTTTATGTAGTAGTAGTTCTTCAGGTATGCTAGCTATTCCTAGTTCTATTTTTCCACCTGTCTACTTGTGAAGAAGGATTCTCACATAACATATCTCTTGAATGAAGATTATTTTTTTTCCCTCCTTTTTAAGATGGCTTTGAGTAAGTATTCACAAATATATTTCCTGGTGCAAATGTTACTAAATTTAAAAAAAAAAAAAAAAAAAAAGAGAGAGAGAGAGAAAAGAAAAGTTAAGAAGAATTCATTTACACAGCTTGCATGACATTTTTTTTCCAGTTGGCTGAACAGATGCAGACCCACGGGGCTGCTGAGAAATGACTTTGATAGATGGTTGCTGTCTGAGAAGCTAGCATACTGCAGATTAGTAGAAACCCGAGGAGAATCTTGCCTCCTTTGTGGAGAGCTTGGTCCAATAAGATAATTTTTCTAATTAACCTATCGAGCACCAGTGTAGCAGGGATGTTGGGGAAAATAACCTGCCTTGGTGTTCTTCTGTCAGTTTTGTGAATTTGACTTTCCTTGTTTCAGCTGCGTCCTTGTCCATCCCTTTATTTGAAGCTTGAAAAGAAATTTTAAAAGCTAGTATTTCAATATTTTTATTATGTATTTTATTTATTGAATTGAAAAATGAGTATAATATTACTTTATATTACAAAATCATACTGGGATAAACATCTGCAGTTGCTCTTGGCTGTAAGATAGCTAGCTAAGCAATTTCCCAATCATAGTTTGAGTCTTGTTCTTCATGCATTGGGATTGGACTGGTATTCTCTAGAAGTCTCAAGACTCACGTCTACCACATTTGTTCAAATCCAATAGAAATTGAACATACCAGCAATTTTACGTGCTCCTAAGGAAAGGAAACCAAGTAAAAAGGAAGGAGGAACACAAAAGACCTCTACGCTTCCGGCCGTACTTTATAGGCAAGTAATGAAGTCTTGACAGAATAGGTACAATATCTAGTAAGTTATAGTTTCACAAAAATGTTAAGAGAAAATTATTTGCTTCACTTTTGATTAACAAAATGCTTCAGAGTTGTCTATACATTTTAACTACTTCTGAAGGCTAAGTTGAATAGTAGTCAGTTCTTCACCTTAGCACACAGCAGTAAGGTTTGGGTTTTTTGTTAATTTTACAGCAGTGCTTTAAGGCCAAAGATAACTCTTTACAGCTGAAATAGAGGAGTCTTTTGTCTCTGTGATGTGAAAATTTTTAACAAGTCTTCTTGTCTTTTGAATGCAATCATCTGTGTTGATGATTTTGCAAGCAGTGCTGTTGCTGTGTAGTCACAGTGGCTGTGTGCATAAAACACTTGCCATGTAAGAATTTTTACTTTTTGCTCATGGGTTGTCAAATGCTTTGGGATATCTTCTGTTTAAAATTTCCTTACTTGTGTTTCTATTCATTCCCAAGAAAAGAAAATGTATACACTTACTCTGTCATTGTTCCACCTTTTCCCCCTCTTCTGTAAGTTGTGAAGCTACTGACTGGATTTTAACTAAGCCTAACAGTGGAACATATACTAGGATCCAGAGCATGACTATGCAAAATATACCTATCAGCTTGGATCTTACTCTGTGGGCACCAGCTGAGAAGTGGCACAGTCCGCTGCTTATCTAGAGGGCAGCAGCCAGGCTTCCAGCCACAGCAAATGGGCGGTATCTTACCCAGCTAGCAGGCTAAATAAAGATGGGTTACATACGCAAAAGTTAATTCTAGTGCTGCGAGAGGTAGAAATCTTGAGAACTTGGCAGTGGGCTGAGGATTTGGCAATTTTGATGTATGCACAAACAAATAATACGAGTCATGCTTTATTAGTTCTGTTTCATTCAAATCCAGCCATTTAGTTCCTCCCATTTTATTATGGAATCAATGAGCACTTGAACTTTTTGAAATAACTGAAATTTCAATACCAGTAAAATAATAATTAAAAAAAAGGAAATGTAATTTCCTATGAGTTGATACATTGCTCAGCATAATAACAGCACAGACCTATTTCAGGGTGCTTGCATTATTAAAACAAGCCTATGATTGTTAAGACTGATAATAGTAGCATAATTTTCTATTTAAGCATTTGGATGGCATAGATAGTATTTTTTCTATTTGTCACTGGTACATTTTGTTGAAGTATCAAGTGATTACTTACTGATTAGAAGTCCTCAAAAAATTGGATTGAAAGCCATTTTATTGTTGTTAACTATATTAGGTGCCTTTTGTGCTTCAGTGTGTATAGGTAGAAGCTCCTTAAAAAGTAATTATGCACTTAAATGACGCATTCAAATTGAAGTTGCCATATGTTTGTATTGAAACTGGGGGATGTGCTGGGATGTATCGTTTATTCTTTATGATTTCAAATGTAATTATAATGCTTTTCTGCTACCTGCATTAAAAGTTGCGGAATTTGTAAGAAGAACCATGATCAACACCTACTGCTACTGTGCGATACTTGTAAACTCCATTATCATCTTGGTTGCCTGGATCCACCTCTTACAAGGATGCCAAGGAAGACCAAGAACAGTTACTGGTAAGAATGCAGTTGATGTGTTGTTTCATGCTATCTCTGTACTTAAAGTAGGACATAAGCATTAATAGACTACCAAGTTTTTAGTGTATTAGATATTGCTATAATGAAGTCTGAACTGAATTATTTATTTTCAGGTTATTAGCAGTGATGTTTCAAGGTAAAAGAAAAAGTTGTAAAGATTTTCTCATTATTAGCCACAATCTAGAAATAGATTATAGCTTTAATTTTCTTAGCTTTTGAGTTCATTTGCGATTATTAATGCTGCATATAATAATGGTAGAAAACTATAGACAGCCTTCAGGAAATGAAAGACTTGGTCTTCTGTTAATCTTAGGACCCAGATATGCAACTCTGTGTCCAGATCTTTAGGAAAATGTTTGTAAATACTTAAAAATAAACCTGTAAGCAGTAGATCAGTTCATTGCAATATGGGAACTATGGATTTACTTCTATGACTGAAATCTGCAATTGCAGAAGCATATGCATAACTGTACTTATTGCAGTTACATTTCCATGAATTAAAATTCTTTTTGTGCCAGTGGGGCAGAACAGAAGTGAAGCGGTACAGTGGAGAACTGACAATGTGGTAAGGGTTCTGCTTTCCAAACTGTCATAAATTAGTGTGCCGCTGTGTTGTGTTAGCGTTCTACATGTTTCTAAACTGCTCTGAAATGTGTTAGAAGCAGTTATTCAGAAGCAGGTTTTTTATCTGGCAAGAAGTTAGTGTACAGTGTCTCCAGGAATCATCATAACCTTGTCTGAAGGTTAAGGTACCAAATGAGAATAATACAAGAATTCCTTCTAAAAATACAGTGAAACTATTTTAATTGAGAAGATTTGCTTTCTGTTTTTCTTCTTATGTCTCTTAACTTCTATTTTTATTTTTTTAATAAACGTCCATAAAACATTTACTTAAGTAATTTTATTGGGTAGTTTTGATGATTGTGTGCAGAGCAAGATGTCCGGTACAAGAAATGGGAGGTATCTCTTCTTTCATATCTTAACATGACAAAACCTGGATTTGTCCCAGTAAATTTAGTTTTTACATTAAAAGAGATTTCCTTTAAAAGCTGAAAATCTCAGAAAGGTTTTTGCCATGACTAATATTTTTCTGAACTTATTTTTTCTTTAATTATTTAATGTAGTCTGTGATTTTGGTCTTTTCATTATTTCAAGGGTATTTTGAGGTCTTTGGTCAAATTTACCAAGTAGTTATGTTATATGGAAGCATTTTTTAAAAAAATTCTTGGTAGCTTCTGCATTTGCACCGGAGGTTCTTGATTTTTGTTCTGCTTTTTAACCAGGTTGAAAAAGCTCACTAAAAGCCCTCAGTCCAGGAGATATAAGACTACAATTCTCAGTAGGTGTTAAAGGCAGAATAGGTCAGGTTAGGTAGTAAAACGCTTTTATTTCAAAGCTGTAACTTACCTTTGTTGTGAATTTCATACTTCAATTATATCTCAGATCACAAACTTTTACTTCTAATTAGCTAAGGCATGTTCTGGAGTGTGAGATTATAGCAGACAAATTGAGCTGTGATTGGACATACATTTATGTATTCTTTTTAGGATCAGTAGAAGACCACATAGAATGGACATTTAATCTAAGCTTGAGTTAAGAAGGTTCCCCCCGTCCCCCCTGCTGTTTTGAATACATAAAAACATAAAACATAAAATAAAAAAAAATTAATCTTTTGATTAAGCTATGAAGAAAAGTGCAATTTTTTTATACGGGGTCCGTGTACTTTTCAGATATTTGTATAGGACATAATGGGAATTTATGCAAAAAGACAAAGTAAGAAAATGGGTATAGCGGGAAATTCCTTGAAACACTAAGCTTGTTGAAAGACTTTATTTACTAGTCCTCTTCTACAATAGTAAGTAAAAATTAAGAAACAATTATTTTTTTCTATTTCATTATGACTGATAATAATTTACTTATAATTGCTAACTTAAGCCTTTGCAAAAGGTTTGATGATTAGAGTCATATACTTTATCAGTACATATTTATTTAAACATTGGGTAGTTTAGCATGAGTTTATTCCATATGCTTCATGTTTTATGTTGTGTGTGAGGATGAAAAATTATTCAGTTTATTTGCGTGATACTGCGTAGCTTGGTTAATAGTTATTCTTTTTGTCCATTTCATGCTCTGCATTGAATAGAAATTTATATTACAGTATACAAAAAAGATTTTGGCATTGTTTAACTAAATCCACTATTACATGTAATGGTAAGGAAAAAAATTTTTTTATATTTAAAAGCTAATTTGTTAAATAAAGGACAAATTATAGTTAGTTATCTCAATGTTTCTAAAAGGAGGTAATCATTTTAGTCTTAGGGAAATTATAGTGAGAGTTTAGACCTGGTGAGCACCACTGTCTCACAGCTTTTTAGAAACTGTTTTCAAGCACGTAATGTTAAGAATTTCCCCTGTTCAGAGGCCTGACAGTTTTTTCCAAGGTAACATTTATACATCCTGGATATTTTAGAAAGAAATTGTTTGTAACAGTAAGTTTAAAGCCTGTTCCTCATTTCAAATGGATTTGTGAGGAAAAGCGTAATAACTATTTTAAGTAATAAAACATGCAAGCATTAATTTCTGTTTGTTTTGATGTGGTGCTTTAAAAGTAGGCCAGCAGTTCTAATCATAGAGTAAAATGCTGTGTGATACTTTTATTTAAAAATGTGGGAATTTTTAATTTCTTTGAAATTCTGTTGATTAAACACTAGAATATTCTTTTGATTCACATGTTACCATAAAATTAAGTCATGTTATTCTCTCTGACAAATTGCAGGGAACAGGCTGCCCAGGGAGGTGGTGGGCTCGCCATTGCTGGAAGTGTTCAAAAAACGTGTAGATGTGGCACTTTAGGACATGGTTTAGTGGGCATGGTGGTGTTGGGTTGGTGGTTGAACTTGATAATCTTAAAGGTCTTTTCCAACCTTAATGGTTCTGTGATTCTGTGTGCTTTTATGCTCCAGCTCATTCTGAATGGGCTGGGAACTGTGTATTTTCCTGGTAGAGAATGATCTGAACTGATACAAAAACAATGCACAAGTGTTGACAGACAATAGAATGAATCAAAATCTGATTGTAAGATACTGACATTATCATTGAGAAAATACTTGGCAGCTAACAAAAGGGACTAGCATGTCCTATTGAAATTAGGTTGCTGAACTCAGTGATAACTTTTGGTAATATGCTCATGAAATGCTGGAGAATGAGGTATACCAAACGAGGACTCAGGATCATATTAGGCTTGGTGGTTTTTATTTTTCTTCTGGAAGGCCAAGTTATTTTGGTGGTAACTGCTGTGGGGGCTGTTGGCCACAGGACAGAATGACTGTAGAATCCCTGACCAGTAGTCCCATGAACACTCATTCAGTATCTGGACATTCATTCATATTCCTGACCCCACTCATTCAGTACTGATGCAGAGTGTCTTGATTGTCTTCTCATCCTGAGTCATTGGATAATGATACAAAATTATTAACTTGTGTGAGTGCAGTGTAATATTCCATATAATGTATAAATTTTTATGTATTTGTCGGTTGTCCTAATTGAAGGATGTTTGGGTAAATGGGAATTTTCAGTAAACGGGAAATTCAGAAACTGGGAAATTTTCAGTACCTTTACTGTCTGAAAGATGCTCTTTGAAGCTCATTGACAAACTATTCTTGGTTTATATATACTGTCTTTTATCCCCGGAATGAGAACAGTCCTCCTTTTTTCCACTTCCAGTACATCATTCAATATGTGATTTATTCAAATTACCAGGGGACAGGTGTCATCTTAAAGCTATGGTCCATGTTTTCAAGTTCAAAGTGGTTTATTTCTTTGCTAACTTTGCAAGAAGTGATTTGCCACAGAGCATGTCTACGAGACCTGTTTCCTCCTAATTGAAAACAAACCAAACTCTTGACTACTAACTGTACAGTTTTCCTTTTTAAACACTGAGGACAGAACTGTTTTCTGGAAGCACTGTAGTGGTCTTCACTCAGCACAGATTTAAATTTACTCTTTTCACAGTAAGTACTGTGTGCACAGAATGCTGGTTTCTTCCAAACCCTCTTCTGGCCTAATGTGCTGTTGTGTTTTTAAGAATGACTGTCTTGTTCAGGCTCAATCCGTTGTATTTGCATCACACAAGCCACTGTGAAACTGTGTACCATAACACAGTTAAGCCAGTCTAATTCATCTAAAATGTGATAATCGAACAAAACCTCAATTTTTTCCTAGTTTTTGTAGTGTTACCTTTTTTTAATAAAATATTTTCATATGTTTTTATCTGTTTTTTTTGTGTCTCATATAGCAAAGATGATGTTTGCTGTGTTATTAAAGTTTCAAAAATAAAAACAGATTTGTGTTACATTTACCAGTATGGTGGCTTTGAGTGCCATTTTTGAGATCTTCACCTTCATGACCTTTCATTTATAAAGTAGTGGTGTTCAGTGTTTCTTCAGCTTTTCTCATCATCATTTCACAAATTTCCATGTGCCAGGCCCATCAGTTAAAGTGCATTTAGTTTTTTTTTTATGTGTAAAACTGCAGCATAAAGAAGCATCATAAAGTCATTGTTTGCACTATTTTTGGGTGGAAATAACCAGGTTTTCTCTCTACGGTTTTCATTTCCACTTCACCAGAAAAACACCCCATCTTCAAACTATCGCTCCTCTCCTTGTTTTCTCAATGATGTAAATATTCACTTTTTCACTTTATAAATTTCTAGCTTAACTATCTAATGCTCTCACTTTATAAAACTTCATAAGCTGAAAGTACTCTTTGGTCTTTGAGTGCTTACTAAAGCCCCAAAGTAAAGTCCTGTTACAGGTTCACACATTTCTTGAAGCTGCCCGTGCACAAAACCAGCATTCAACACCAGACGATGCAGAAACATTTGCATCATGCAGTTACACAAAAGCAGTGTTTCAGTGTTACCCCGGATCATTAACAATTTTTTTAAAATTAATAATGTGTGTTCCTTTTCACTTGGTCTTGTCTTTTGATAGTGAGTTGAGAAGATCATTTGCTCTGTGAAGTGGGAAGGTTTCTCTGCTATTAATTCTTGTACCAAGTCAGGTTGAAAACACAACAAAACCATGCAACTTCTTTTCTCCTGTAGGTTGTTAGTGCTTAATCAAAGACTTTCTGTATAGTGAGAAAGTTTCACATCATCGCTGAGATTTCTTGATGGATCAAACATTTCCAGTAATTTTTAGTAGTAGGCACATTTTAGTAGTAGGTATATTATTGCCACTGCTGATTTTCTCTGAGTCTAGATTAGGTGAGGCCAGACTAAAAGCAAAAAACCCCTGTGTACAGAAGTTGAATCTTTGACACCCTTTCGCCTGTTAATTTGGTTGTGCTGCATGCGGTGCTTGCTAATTTAGAGGTAGGTAAAGATTGTCGTAACAGTTGGGAAGGTGACCTGTTGTGATGGGCTCTTATTCCCTGATTGGCCTTGAAGAGGTGAAATTACATGAGTACGACCTCGTGTAGCTAAAAGGAAGGGGAGTCATGTGGCTGGTTTCTATGAATATGTTGGAATTAAACAGCAGAATGTGAAGAGTTCTTTAAATTCAAGAACCATGTTGAAATAAGCCATAATAGGAGATGAAAGTCAGGAGATTGTTTTCAAGTCAGAGGACTGTGTGTCTGTAATAGCTTTTCTGTGGGCCCTATGGGAGCTAAAACCCAAACTACTTTGTAGTTGAAGCTTGACTGTTTTATAATAGGGTTGATAAGATGTGGTTGCCTGTGATAGTAAAGCCTATTCGAGTAAATTAAGAGGTTGTTTGTAAGTTCATGTGTATAACTTTCCTTTTTTCCCCTCACCTTCAGTGTGTTTTTGAAGTTTTGTTCGGTGATTCACCCAACCTCCCCACCATACAATGGTTTTGCAACTTTCTTTTTTGTATGTCTAGCTTTGTTCTATTTCTGGTTACTGTGACGCTTGTATCACCTCTTTTCAGAGCAAGCTCCATCATAAAAATGTAATTTCAGAAACTTGCATGCAGTACCTCATCTGTTGGCAGAGATGTTTCTTGTCTTCCTCGCTAACAGCAAAGTTACAATACTTTATTTATTCTTAAATAGGGCCCCAATGAAACTAAAGTACTTTACTGGTCTGCATAGTTGTATTTTCTGGACAATTGCCTGAGCTTATGTAGCAGAAAAAAAGGTGTCTTTCCTTTTTAAAGCACAGAACTAAACAACAGGAACGCTTAAATCATAGGTGCAGGGCGGTAGATCCAAGAAACTGGGCTCCCAGCTCCAAATATTGCTGTAAAATCATGCCACTATTTTTGTCTTGTAAAAACTTATGGTTTTTATGCAGCTCTTTAGTTGTAGAATGCTTATTTTTTAATTATACTTTTTTATGATAATAAAGGGAAAATAAACTTTTTGTAAGAATTTCTCATCACGGTATTTTAGGAACACTTTCATAGCTATTGCTTACATCTGCATAAGCAGATCATAGTAAGTACTTTCAGTTGTGCTTTCCATTACATAAATTAATCACATGACTGATGCTGCAGTATTATGGAGGGCTGTGCTCTTTGAAGCTTACCAAATGGAAAATCTCCTTAGATTTTTGAGTTGGACAACTGGAAGACAATGCATATAAAAGTAAAGAACACAAAATAAGCTTTCGCTAAGCAGACACACAAAATTTTGAGGGAATGCTGTTATCTCTAAAGCTTTACTCTTCTGTTACATTGTTGGAGAGGCTTTGTAAAGTTTTACAATAATAGTAGTTTGGTCTGTGTGCTTTTGTTTATTTACTTAAGTGCATGTGTATACATATTTGTGTGTGTATATGCACACAAATTTATGTAAACATATAACTGCAATAAGCATTTTGTGAAGGTTACTGTACATTGTATTTTTTTAACAGGTTTTCTATTTTAGCCTCTTAAAGAGGCCTAGAAATATTAACAGATACTATGTCTGTGATAGCGAACCGAGGTTTGTAGAGAGGAGGAAGAATACAGTATTACACATGTATATGCTGGCCCAAAACTGTTCGCAAATTACAAAAACTGCATAAACTGATTTCCTTGTGTTTTGGTTACTAATAAAGTCTCCATGCTTATACGAGGGAGGGGAGAGAGTAATATCCAGGATTGGATCCCCTCTATTTGGACTTTTTAGTCACTGCTCTGTCTAGCAGACTGCGATGACTGCGGTTGTCTTCTGGTATAGACAGGAGAGATCTGAGTGTGTAGTGCTTGGATTAGTTTGAAAGAATTAGAAAACATGGAAAGTTGATGGAATTGATACTGTGTTAGCCCTTACTGCAGTTCATAGGAGAAAAACTATTCCTGTTGAACATGCGCATATGAAGAAATCAGCTCAGACACAACATATGTACCTGACTTTCTGCTTTTGTTTAGATACGGGATGAGGATGCCTTCTTGTCACAAGTGTGTATTAACTTTTAACTTCAAATAATTAAATAAAAGTATTTTGTCTCCTTCAAAAAAAATGTGCTCCTTTGTTTAGATAATTTTAATGTGTTAATGCCAATTAGTAGCAGGACATAATGTTGATTTTTTTTTTTTTTTTTAGTTGTTATAAAAAGAACATTTTTAATATGAGAACAGTTATGAGTTAGAGTTTATTTGAAAGGATTTATGGTTTTTTGAATTGGAATTGTAATGTGAGAAGGAATTAAAAAACTGGCTCTTAATCAATGGGTATAATTTCTAATTTTCATTAATACAGTTTCAGTTAACACCTGCATTTATGACTTTGCATAAGATGAGTATTTTCTGGAAATGAGAACAAAACTTGATGACTTCCCATCTTGTTAATTCTGTCATGGAGCTTGTTAATAGCATTACCATAGCATCTGTTCACTTTTTAAATTCTGATTGTGATTTTATATTTTATAAAAAAACTCAGCATTTTTTTCAACTCAGTATTCACAGTTTGTTAACACACATCTCCAGCTTCTATATCTTTAATGTCTCTTACCTATTTTTTCAGATTTAAAAGCCACTCCCTTAGAAAATACATATTAAAATTGATTTTCTTAACAGACATTTCTGCTAAGTCCCTGCCGCTAAAGAGCACTCTCATCGGAATGAACTCAGCAGCGTGTCATTGTAGAGATTAAACTGCTGCAGCAGTTGTGATAATGAATAGATTACAGATCAGTGGGCACCATTAAAAATGGGGATATGGTAGGATACAAATGGTGAAATAGGGTGCATCTTTCTTGAAGGTTAAATCCTATTTTCAAAATCTTGGTTTTCAAAGTCTAAATAGAGTCAGAAAAAAAATTATCAAGAAGAAAGTCTTCCTTGTTTTTTGCTTAGTTGCTTAAAATATCATGCGTTTGAGGGACTTCTTTAGGTGTCCTTTGGGTTTCTTGACTTCTGAATTTGTTTTAAACCCAAACTTCAATATGTTTCTTTTTCTGCTTTTGTGACTGCTGTTTTAAATAGAAAATCTTCCACTTTGCAGGCAATGCTCGGAGTGTGACCAGGCAGGTAGCAGTGACATGGAGGCTGATATTGCCATGGAAACCTTACCAGATGGGACCAAACGATCAAGGAGGCAGATTAAGGAACCAGTGAAATTTGTTCCTCAGGATGTGCCACCAGAACCGAAGAAAATTCCTATCAGAAACACGGTAAATGATGGTTGAGTTGTTGTTGTTATGCAGTTCATATTCATAATAATTTTGTTTAAGATGACTTACGTTTTGGACATTTGGAATGACATTTGTTTGATATTCTGTTTTTGTTATAAATTCCCTTTCCTCTGTTTAATGCTTTTTTACTTGTGTTAAATATAAAGTTTTGCTACAGTAAAAAGCTGGGGAACATGCTACTGAACTGAAGATCCGTGCAAGCTTTTCCTTTTACCTGGGTCATAAAGTCCTCTGTTAATTGCAGAAAAAGGGAAAATTCAGTTTGCACTTAAACTTAGCCTTTACAGCTGTTCTTCACCTTAGCAGTATGGACACTTTGTTCATGTATGCTAAGATTTAAATGTATGAACGTGCCTATTACGTAACTAAAAGTAATTAGTCATTTCCTTATGTACGGGCAGCCTACTTGACTGCACATTTTGTGACTATCACAAGACCCTGTTATTTCAGTTTGTTTAGCTTCCTAATGTTACTAGTCATCGTATGTTTTCTTGGACTTTCCTGGTGGATAGTTTTTAGAGAAGAGAAGCAAAAGTGCTTGCTTCCTGTACGAATGAAATGTTTAGCATCTTCCTTTCATTTGAAAGTAAAACTTTCTTATTAATCACTGTATTCCATTGAGTTTCTCTGGTGGTCTAATCCTTAAGATTTTGCTCTCCTCCTTCCTCATAAAACAAGTTTTTTTGTGTGATGTGTCACATCACCTATAAAATGTACATAAATTTAGGTCCAGTTTAGGGAGTGAGTAGTGTTCCCATGACCCTTCGGACATAAGTAGTAATTATATATGAACTGGTGGTTCATCTTCCAGTATACATCTTGGTACCAGGAAATACTTAAACCCGCTGATGTTAGGGTTAGACATACTTCACCTCCCATGCAGCACAGCTCTGTTTTTCTCAAAGGGCTTTCCAGACTTCTTATGCTTGTACTAGCAGATACCATACTTAACACTTTTGAGTATACACTGATACTATTAAACAAGTATTTTCCTGACCTAACCTTAAATGTTTGCTTTAAAATTACATTTCAAAATATTTGGAGTGCTTGGGCCACAGCTTTGATTTACCTAATCAAATCTGGTCTGTGACTCAGAAGAACTTTAAGAACGATTCAAGCCAAAATTGATAATGTAGCTCAAGCTGTTAGGAGTGTGAGTAGTCCAAAATTAAATTTTGTGAATAATTGAGACTGTCCGTAGGGGAGAAACTTTTTCTTTCTTTTTCTCATTGAGGGAAAGTTTCCTTCTTTCCTATGTGTAAGAACACGTATATTCTTACAGCTGTCTGGGTAAGTTGAACTGACTGTTGTCATGCTGTTGTTAACACAGAAGGACTTATCTGGTGTTCCTGCTTACTGAACCCTTGCATCTCCTCTCCTCTTTTTCTTTTTTTCTTTCTTCATCTCCCCTTTTTCTTCTTTCTCTATCTTCCCTCTTTTTACACCTAATATGGTGGTGTTAGGGGGTAGGGAATCTGATTATGGGATTAAAGAGAAATAAGAGTATTGTAGGAAAGACTATATTATTAGTATAGTAGTAATAGACAAAAGAGTGATATAAGGCATTTTACAGAAATCCATAGGAAGAAAAGATTGGTCATGTAATAACCAAAATTGCCCATGTAATAACTGCCCAGGTCCTTCTGTGCTAAATGGAGATTTAATCTGATTGCTCTGAAGTGTTGCTCTCATGCTGTGACACTGTGAGGTGCTACCCTGTGCTGCACTGGTGATTTGGCACCTCACGTGCTAAAGAGTATGTCTACACGCATTATGGTATGTAATATAGAGATTAAATTTACTTTGAGTAGACTGGTATGTTGGCATGGTACAGCATTGTACTGTGGAAGACTTTGTTCCTCGGCTTGAATTTTTAGTCTCTCTTTCAGTTCTCTCCAGTACTCTGCCTTTCTACAACATACAGACTTGCAAGGTAACATCTTCGCTGTCCTGTGGGCAGGGCTCCTCTGTCAAAGTTGTCTCCACTCTTTTAGCTTTCCCGTAGCTGACAGGTTTGGGTCTTTTTTTTTTATTATTTTATTTATTTCCTACTGTCTTCTACTTAACAATGGAAGAGAAGGTTCACACCCTTGACACCTGCTGGATTTCTTTCTCTGAACTAGACTGAATTCCTTCGTTTCAACTCTGAATTTCATTATCTTCGTATACTTAGGCTGTATAAAAAAATGAAGATAACAAACCTCTGAAGACTTACTATATACTTCCTGGCAGTATGGGTCTTCCATTCACATTTGCTATGAACCCAGGAAAGTCGGTGTTAGGTTTTTTTGCTTGTTTGTTTTGTTTTTCAAAGAGAATACTTTTTAATTCATTAGGTCTGGGGCTGTCTGTATATTTGAGGGAAAAAAATATTTGAACAACTTCTCAAATGCAGTTTACTTGAGTCTGACTACACAGAGAACGTCTGTGGGGTGCATTTCAACAATGATGACCAGATACACTTATTCAGTCCTTTGTGTACTCACTGCTCAAATGCTTTAAAATAGTTTAAAATAAAGAAGAAAAATCAACAATCTGAAAATATACTTACTTCACAGTCCTCTCTTTAGTGTACTTTCTACCTCTGGGTGTGTTCTGTTTGATCTAGTTTTATTTTGGAAGGAACTGGCAAGCCTGCTTAGCCTTGCTTACACTTATAATCGAAAGTGCAATTATAAGACTGTTGAATTGTGTATTTGTTGCTCTTAAGGGAATTTCTATCTGTTAAGCATAAATTTAGCTTGAATTGATACAATTGAAAGAAGGGGTTTTTTTGCCACATACTGAAAAGAACAGAATACATCTTACATGTTTGGATTTCGTTGGGGTGGTTTATTATTGTTAACTCTTCATTACTTTGTCAACAAAAATTGTGGGTAAGCCCTAATATTATTTTGATAAAGTTGCATTATGTGTTACTGGTATCTCTAAGACATTTTATACAAATGCATATGATTAACTAAGCCTATATGCTATTTATATGAAAAAAAAAAAATCATGTTATTGTATTTCCAGAATGATACTTTGTGATCAGCGTGTCCTGTTGCTCCTATTTGGTAACGCCGATTTCAGAGGTTAGGATAAAGGATACCCCCTTTCATGAAAAATTGCTTTCTTCCTTATTCATAGTTGGTTTTTTTTTTTTCCTAATTTCTGTCTGCTTGGGGTACTCTGAAGAGTAAGAGACCCCTTTAGAAGTATTCATAATTTTACTATTGTTTCTCCTCCAGTTTGACTATGGATGTGTGTACTTAAGTCCTGGAAATAAATGTATTTATTGATTTATTTTTAACCCTTTGAAGCATCTGAACGCACTGGTGGTGTGGATTTCCTTTTCCAGGGATACATTGTTTTTTAAAGAAAATAGTGGTGGGCTTTTTTCCACTTTACATGGAACCTTACAATTCGCTTTTGTTTTGCAGTATTGCAAAAAATAATAAGGACATTTAATTTTACCTTCTGCAACCTATACTATTTTTTCTCTTTCTTTTCCTCTATGAACTTCACAGTTCTTTTCAGGTTTTCCTCATCTTAAGTCTCTTAAGTACTTAGCCTTACATCTGTGTCGGGATACTCTTAGCAGAGATTTAGAGTGGGATGCTGTGCGTTATTTTGAATGAGGTGCCTTCCTATCTGCAGTCTGCTTGTGCAAAAAGCTTGGCTCATCACTAATTACTGGCTGGGAAGAGCTGTGAGCAATATTCATTTTCCAACTCATTGAGAAAACTCAGGTTTTCTCCTAGGGACTACATTGTTCAAGTCTTAATTCAATCTAATCTTACATCAGAACAGCGAAGGCCAGAGAGCTGTGGCAATTTGAGTACACTAGTGTTCACAGCTGCTGTGTGATACCGGAGGCTCAGTTTCTGTCTATAACTTGGAAGTGTGAGAGAAGTAAGACTGAAGCAGGTTATTCAGAGTTGGGGCAATGCTGCTCCCTTGTACAGTTCTCTGCATTAATTGTGTGTCAGGGCAGTGTTTTGCATCCTAGTGCTGTAGAAGCTTTTTAAAACGACCCTGTGAATACTCTGGTATTTCCATCTCAGCTTTCAAATGCTTTGGAGGACATTTATATCAAGAGCAGCATCTGAGACAGGGAGAAGGTCCAGCCATTTGGAGAGAGCGCCTACCATATTGTACATCAAAATGTGACTAAAGTTTACAAAGACGACCTTTCTGATTTTAAATTTCCTAAGAATGACCATGTAAGAGTATACACCTAAATGCACAAGGGTAAATTTAAACATACCAGAATTGTACTCTGAGTCAGGGTCTATAGAAATTATACATGAATGTAAATAGACATGAGGCCTTTATATTTTAATCTGTTGTATGAGGGCTGTATTTGGGGACAGAATTTAATTTATTTTTTATGGTTATACATTTCGAGCCATATTTAGTGATCTTTTAAACGAATTTCTGAATTTCAGTGTATAACCCTTTAAACTAGCTTCATTTAAAATCTGTAAACGATATAATTCCAATTTCATACTTGTATAAGCTTCACAAATCATTATTTCTGCTGCTAGTTAATTTTAGAGAAATTAATAGCTAATGATTAATAGAAATCAATAGCTAATCTGTGTAGTCCAGTAGATGCCTATAACCATTTTTTTATATTTGTTAAAATCCTGAAGATGTATTTTAACATTTGCATTGCAGAAGTATATGATTTTTCATATTGGGCATTTTTATTGTAAAGATGAAAAGTGTATAATAGTTTGTTTATTTGGAAAAAATCTTTAAAGAGCTATGGGTAGTGCTTTACAGCAGTAAGTTGAGAGAATGCTTTTCATCTACTCAGCTATCTATGTTAATTTTTTCAGAGCTTTTATGAGATGATTCTTCTTTACAAAAACCAGCTTTTAACAAATTTGCTAACTTCCTTTTTATCCTCGACTGAAAAAGAACACACAGGTTATTGTTTATCTAAGATGTCATTGATAAATAATTTTGTCAGTGTGGTATCATATTTTTTG